AATCCTAGAAGATGAATGGTAGATGACTCATCTAGTACATTACCATTCATAAATATAGGAAGATCTAAATTATTACGATAACGATTGGCCGAATAAAATTGAGTTTTATCTGAATTAAAGTTCACCAGCCACTGTGAGCCCCATGCTGTAGCAGAAGTGAGATCCTTTTCAAGCTCAGATACCCCCTCCAAGCAATCAGAGAGTGTAGGCTTCTTATCATGACAAGAGTAAATGGTAGTGTCGTCAGCGAGTAATGCCACCTTAGATGTGAGAATATCTGGAAGATCGTTAATGTAAATTAAAAAGAGTATAGGGCCAAGGATTGAACCTTGAGGAACCCCTGAAGTTACAGGATGTGAAGAAGAGTGTTGTCCATCGAGGACAACTTTTATACTACGATTGGAAAGAAAGGACTCAATAATCTTAAAGACGTTACCAGCTACACCATAAGAAGAAAGCTTATGGAGAAGACCAGCATGCCAAACTTTATCAAAAGCTTTAGAAATGTCAAGTGCGATAGCCTTAACCTCTCCACCTCTATCTAATGCACGGTAAAACCTATCGGTTATTACTGTTAGCACATCAGCTGTAGAACGAGAAGACCGAAATCCATATTGATGATCAGAAAGTAAGTTATTTGATTCAAGATGAGAGATTAAGTGTTTGTTGATTAAAGATTCAAAAACCTTGCTTATGACAGGAAGAAGACTAATGGGACGGTAGTTAGATGAATCAGATCGCTCTCTGGAATTTTTGAAAATAGGGATAACAGATGCTGCTTTCCAGCATGATGGAAAACAAGACTCTGATAAGTACTTGTTAAATAGTTTAGAAAGTATGGATGAAAGCTCCGGAGAACACCTCAGCAAGACTACAACAGGAATGTTGTCAGGACCACAAGCTGTTGAAGAGTCTAAGCAGGAAATTACTTTAGATACAGAAGCTGAAGTGATGCGAATGTCAAGCAAGGGATCAACCTGTTTGACGGCTATGTCAGGTAAAACGCAACTAGTGGAATCAAGAGATGATATTGATGAAAAGTTCTTAGCAAACAATTCAGCTTTGTCTTTAGGCGAGGTGACAAAGTCTGAACCATACAAGAGAGAAGGAATAACAGATTTGCCCTTATTATTGATACTGTTAAAGATTCTCCAGAAGTCTCGAGAGCCTAATTTTTGTGATGAGATACGAGATTTAATGACCTGGGAATAGCGAGCTTTGGCGTCAGACAAAACCTTTTTACAATGGTTTCTGGCGATAGTGAACAGATGTTTGTTTTCTGGAGAATTGTTTTGCTGATAGATATGGAAGTAACGGTTTCGATTAGAAATTGCTGCAGCGCAATGTGAGGAAAACCAAGGAGAAGAGTGAGGCTTGACCTGGAATTGTCGAGAGGGAATAAAAGATTCCATGCCAGCCTGAATCCACGAAGTTATGTAAGGAGCACGTTTGTCAGCAGGAAGACGAAAGATTTCTACCCAAGGGCCATCACGAAGAAAATCACGGAAAGAGTCCCAGTCAGCTTTAAGGTAGTTGTATGTGGTACGATGATAGGGGGATTCTTATGAAGTAGAAGAATTTGATAATAGTTTTAGAGAGATCAAACCGTGATCAGAAGTACCTAAGGGTGAATGTGGAGAAATTGAGCACTGACTAGGATCCAAAACAAGACATAAGTCGAGTAGAGAAGGTAAATGATTAGGGTTGTCTGGAAAACGAGTTGGAAAGTTGACTATTTGAGTTAGAGATTGAGAAAGGCAAAAGTTGAGGGCCTTAACGCCAGCAGAGTCACTGACACTAGAGCCAAGCCAATCGGTGTGATGGGCATTAAAGTCACCAACAACGACGATATTGGCCGATGGATAAAGAGAGAGGGCTTGGTCAATTTGATCAGAAATAACATCAAGAATAGTGCAATCTTGGGATGAAGGAGAGCGATATAGAATAAAGAGAAAGGCGATAGAGTGAAGTTTTGCTAAACGAAAGCACATAAATGAATAGTCTGTAGATTCAAACCTAGTTTCACGACAAATGGGTGAGTTCTTACGAATGTAGATGCCCAGGCCAAGCATGTGATTATTGGAGTCTTTACGAATTAAAGGAAGATAACCATCAACACTAAGATCACAAGATGGGACAGCCGAACTCAAATTAGTCTCACAAAGAGCAAGTAGGTCTGGTGAACTTTGCAAGAGATAAGACTCAACAGAAGAAAAGTTACTTCGAAGACCACGAATATTAGTAAATGATAGGTTTAGAGAACTTGGTGATGACGATGGTTTTTTGTGTTTTTTAGTTTTAGGTACTTTAGTCATTTTAAATTTATAAAGAACTTGACTCAAGTATAGATAGTACTCAGTACACTATTTAACAACTAAGCAATAGCCTCATTACTATTAATAAACCCTAAGCCGTAACAAAGGGCTCCAAATGTGGCCTCTGCAATGCACACCAAAAGTACAAACAGGGACACCATCCATGCGCAACATGGCACTGTTAGTACTCTGATATTTTTCGGCTGTTGATGGAATCAGCCTCTCTGAGAGCTACCACAGAGTTCGGGAAACCTGACTACCAGCCGGCCTCAGAACCATAAAACTGAGTTTTAGAGCTGTACCCTCATTAGGAGATAATAGAATGAGTTGCCCAGTCATAAAAATAGAGACACAAGCAATACCCACGCATTGAGTCAAGAAGATCCAGCGTTCAACATCCTAAACTGGAAACAATGTATTAAAAATACATCTGCGCCAGCCTAATAGATGAGGAAGGGGTGCGAGGCTGGTCAACAGATAGAATCTGTTTACCCCTTAAGTCTTTGCCTAGGAGGCCTTCTACAAGACAGCAGCTGGATGCATGTAACATCTGCCCAAGATGAGTATTTTTATCGAGACACCATCTCTAGCCTTTACTCAACCAAGAGCCCCAAGGCAGGGGGTGTTTTAATTCGGAGTTAACTTCTCCTAGCCTTTGCCTAAAAAAGCGTATCCTACAAGGCAGCAGGACATATATATATATATATGTATATATATATATATATATATATATATATATATATATATATATATATATATATATATATAAATTCTAAAAATATTATTATACTTCTGTGGATACCAAAACTATCCCCTTATGGCTACTTAAAAAGAGTTCCATAAAGTGAGTATAAAAACCATTTTCAACTTGCGTAACATTCAACTTAATATGTTATGCAGTAATAAATTTGAATCTAAATATGGGTTTTTATCAGTTAGATTGCATTTGGAATGCGCTAGGTCTAGGTGAATGCATCAATAAAACTGAAATGCATCAGGTGTAGTTGAACAAACACAACATTTCGATGGTACAATAAACTAGACTAAAGCATTAATTGCAACAGAACTATACACATATGGTTTACGAGGCTATTGTAAGGCATAATATAATAAAATGATCTCCTGAAAATGTTTTAGATTTCAACAATGGTAATTTATAGACAACTAAAATTATTAGTTATTAAAATCTACGACATTAGAGACTATTTTTTGTTAAAGTAATTCATCTGAACCTGTTACATTGCAATGACATCATTTTTGTTATATTTGTATGCAGGGCATTGAAGTAATGCAAAAAAATCTAATTGTGAAATTTTTTTTTATTAAATCCTTTTTATTTTTAAAGCGTATTAGAATGTTATTGTAAAAAGGTTTATATAAAAAAATAAATAAAACAATACCGCAAATTTGTTTTGTCAATAGAAAGAGTTTGTGCTAATATAAAACAAATTCGTTGTTTGCTGTGTTTTTTAAAAAACACGTCTTTACAAAACACGCCTTTACAAAAAATATTAAACTATTCAAAATGCTTATGATTTAAATATAACTTTTTTCCTCACTTTCTTCTTCACTCACTTGCAGTATCCTTTAAAATTGATATTTTAATGTAGCTAGATCTATGTATGATTTTTATAAAAAAGTGGTGGGATGTTACGAATGTCACTGCAGCTTCAATTTAAATAAATTTATTGTAAGCAAGCTTTAAAAACTTTTTTTACATAAACAAAAATTTTTTAAAATTTTTTCAAAATTTCAAAATTCAAATTCAAGATTATTTTTTATTTAAGTTTTTAATTATCAAGATTATTTAAATATGAGAATTTTAGAAGATGAAAAATTTTTTTATTCAAATGGATTTTTTTTAAAAATGAATTCCTAAAAACAATTTGTGTATTTATAGAAAATCTTGATATTGCTATAAAAAAATGAAAATATAAGCAAATTGATATTGCATTTTTCATATTCTATTCAAAATTTTTTATTGAAATAATTTTTAGTAAAATGCTTATTATGTGTTAACAATATTTAAGATATAAATAGAAACATTTGTTCTGATTACTTTTTTTAACCATAAAAGTTTATATAACTCACAAGCATAACTCACAAGCAATTGATGGACACAATAACTCACAATAACTCACAAGCAATTGATGGACAGAAACTTCTTTTCTTTATCAGGGCTACTGATACAAAATTGAAAAAATATATAATTTTTATATATATATATATAATATAAATTTTTTTATATAAAATTTTTCTCTGTCAAGCATAAATTGCATGGTTTTTTACTGGATTTCTAGCGGTTTTATCCAGTAAAAAATTTGAGATTAGAAGTATTAGATATTTATTGTTTTGTTTAGTAATTATGTTGCAGATGTTTGAAAGATTTATATTTAATTTTATTAGCCTTCCACAACAAAAAATTCTTGCTGAAATGTGCATTAAAATATTCGGACCACTGCTGCTTGATAAACCTTTGGAATCCAATCCAGTATGCATAAGTCAATTATCCAATTGTTTAATGTTATGATGTTTTTTTAATTTATTCTTAATTTTAATGAATTAATACTTACGTTTTTTTTCTTTTTTCAAAGCTTGAGCCTGGTATTGAGCTACCATCTCCAGAACAGTTAAAATATAAAATACTCATTAAAAACAAGAAACTAGCATCCAATGATGAAATGCGTACGTATTTATCTGTTGTTTTAAAATGTTAATATTTGTGTGTGTGTATATATATATATATATATATATATATATATATATATATATATATATATATATATATATATATATATATATATATATATTAGTGATGTACCGATTAATTGGCATTGGTATCAGCCACTATTTGCACATTCAGATTAATTAAAGCGTAATAAACAATTTTTATGCATTGTTTGATAAAATAAATTTAAGTTGGATTTCATTTCACCACTCTTGAAATTCATTAAATTTACAAGTATTAAGCAAATTTAATATAAAGCATAAAGCAAAGTATATAATATAATGTATTTAATATAATAAACATAAATATAAAGTATAAAGCAAAGTATAAAGCAAATTTAAACAAAAAAGCTGATGTAATATTAACATTTAAATGTGTATAAGAAAATCTAATGTATGTACAATATAAAAAATTAAGTCTATTAGATTAAAACAAGAAGAGATAGACAATTTGGTCAGAATTTAATATACAATCTGATTGGGTTTTAAGTGCCTTTTTCTTTGGTTGCATAACATATTTCTATTGTTTTCTACAACTTGCACAAAGTTCTGAAATGGATTTTTTTTTAAGCAGTTCCCACAGTCACTACAAAACTTTATTCCATGTTCATTAGAGTCATTGACAACAAACAAAAAATTACGTTTTTCAAAGCAAGAAAATTTCATTTTTTTGCCATCCTTTAAATTGTTCCCTCAGAAAACTACTGTTTATATTTATGATTATAATGAAAATTGGTCTTCATCAATAAAATCAGTCAAATCATTGGAAATAAAGATTTAACAAACTCTTTATTTTATTTACAAATGTTTGTCCTGTAAATTGTTATTAAAGAAGACAGCAGAGCCAACTCCTAAGTGAGGCACCACATGTGATTACTAAAAGCTTTCAGAACTTTTTCATTAGCAATAATCAACAACTTTATACTCAGCTAATAAACAACAACTTTACAATGAATTATAAGATTTAAATTGTTAGTAGGTGCTGAAGATGCACTTAGCTACCATAGAATATAACAAAATGCAACAAACTTAACAATCATTTGTTGCTCAGTAAGCTGTTGTCTAGCAAAAAACTGTTCCTTTCCTTTGTGACTTGTTTATCATACAAGATTCTTCATTCAGATCATCTTGCTTCTTTCAGTAGTTTCAGTTTTCAGACTTTTCTTATAGAATATTATGATTGAAGATAATACTTGAATATATTTAAACCAAACATTTATCATTATTCATAGCTTAATATAAACCAAACAATGCAGTCATTATTTTATAGCTTATAATATTTGTTTAATAGCTTATAATTCTAGTTATTTTAAATATAAAATAATAATACAATATCTGTATCTCTTATATTGGTATTGAATTAATGTTAAATATCATCATATAATTTAGCATGCAAAAATTGATCTATTCAGGCCTTTAATTTGTTTTTAAAGTTAACTTTACACAGTATGACGTAAGATTTACTTTTTGACTCTTCAAACAAAACAATTTTGTCATTCTTAATGCAGTGATCTGTTTATATAACAAAAAATTATTTGCTGGTGTGTTCATCACATATCGTAGATGCTGAAAGTTCATAGTTTTTATTTAAATTTTTGCATTAATATTTATTTATTGTCCTTACAATTGTAATAAATATGCCATTAATGAAAATTAACAAATAATCAATGGTAATGTGATAAATTATGTAAAAAAAGTAATGATTATTTATAGTAATCAAGTAAAATAAACTAAACTTTATAATATTATCGAGGAACCTAACTATAATGTTTTCATGCTTTGATTTTTTATATTTGAAGTGGGTGGAGGCACTCTATTAAATTTATTTAATACAAACATTTTGTAGTATCAATGGTCCCTGTTTCCAACATCAGATAAAAAAAAAGTTTTAGACAAGTAAAAATATAAATTTTAAAAATCTTTTACAATCTCATTACAAAACATTAAAAAATTTGAAGTCAAAAAGTTGCTATTTTTTACTTTCCAGAATTTCATTTTCAAGAGAACGCTTTTTGCGTTTAAGATGATTGTTTCACAAGAAAAAAAAAATACTTTAACGGCTCTTTAACTCCATCAACTGCACCATTAGAGGTAGAAAAAACTCCATTCTGTAGTTTAAAAGTAATATTTCACAGAACAAAGTTTTATCTACTTTACCATGTATTTATTTTTGAATTGAGTTAAAGGGTTATCACTCCATAGAATAATTTATTTTATATAATTAATGTAATAGTAATAAAGTATTTTTTATAAGTAGGTTGTTTTGTTATCTCATTATCATCAGATATTATTACAACAAACTATAGTATTACTCTGACTAGTGCCTTTTAATGAGATGTTGCTCAGTAAATTTCGATAAATAGTTACAAAAATATTTATAAACATCTGTTATGGTATTACTGTTTTGACTGAGTATACAGCGATGGTCATCCTCTATCCACCAACTATAGGTTATATTAATGTATCCATTTTTTTGGGTGCAGAAATTTATCATTACAACACAATACAAACTTTATGAACAATACATACTTTTCTAATAATTTATTGCAATTTATTGCAATTTAGGCTAAGAGTGATGGCTTGTGGTCTATGATGACTAATGTGTGCATTTGATCATTTAAAATCCATTCTGTAGGTTTATGTCTAGCTCCAATGTGTTAGCCCATAAGCGCAAGAAGTTAGTGTGTTTAGCTTTCTATTCACCCAACTTGAATGTGGACAAAAACATAACAAGACCATACTAGATGACCGAACAGAACTTACTATTGAACTACTTCATCACACCTGTAGACATTAACAGTCTCTAATATTTGTAAATCGCAAATTTGTTTTTATTATATAGTTTTGCTCAACTTTGTTTGACCTCAACATTGTTTATTATTTCAGATTTGTTTTATTATGAGTGTATGAGACCATAAATGTTTAAGATGCATAATAGCTTTTTTTTTTTTTTTAATTTTTAAAAAAATAACCCAACATACAAATAGTTGACTAAGAAAGACAGCCGGTATTCTTTAGACACATGGTCTAAAGAATATTAAAAAAAATGGTTTGACTCAAATGTAAACTTATTTAACTCATATGCAAACTTCAAAATCAAGTAGTGTGTCATAAAACTCTGAGCATGTTGCCAATCAGTAAGAATTGCATATTTTTTATTACTTGTTGTTCAACTTCTGTGATAGCATTTTCTCCTTAAAGAAAAAAGCTGATCATAGATGATCAGCTTTTTTCTTTAAGGAAAAAATGCTAATGTTAAGGAGAAAATGTGTCTATTAACATTATTTGTTGCATACTGAACATTTAAGAAAGACATTAAGTAGGTTTTTACTGCAATAAAGAGATATCAAAGAGGCTTCAAGCCTTAATATCATATCTGGTAGGCCTAAAAAAACAGTCAAAAATGGGTTTGTTAAAGAGAGATGTAAATTAAAAATCCATGATTAAATGTTAGGCAGTTAAAAAAACAGTATTGACCTGTTAATAGCATATCAGTTTGCATGGTGCAATATTTTCAGGTGGACTAAAGCTTACCTAGCTGCAGTGCAACCCAAAAACAATTACTTACTGCATATAGATGCAGTAATTGTTTTTGGACACCTGTGCTGACCTGGTTGCCTGTAATGTGGAGTGATAAGAGTAATTTTTCCATCATAAGCAATTGGGTACAATCCGTGTTCATTAAAAAATGGATTCTGAGCGCTATATTAATGTTTTAAAGACAAAACTCTTAGACACTTTAGATATTCGTGAGTCAGAAATTTTTATGCAGGACAATGCCATACATTAATAAAATTAGTGGAACAGATCAGTAGCAAAGGAATCAATGTTTTTGAATGGTGTGTCAATTAATCTGACTTAAATACCATTAAAAATGCTTGGAAACAAAAAGAAAAGCAAGGTTTGGGGAGCATGTGCAACATCCTTTCCAGAATTAAAAAAAAAGAGATCATTCTGATATAATTTAATGAAATACTATTAGAAACTCGCTGACAGATAATTCCAATATAATTAGATAATTCCAATATGCCAAAGCATATGGAATTATCGATTAAAAATATAAGACATATAACTAAGTACTAAAATAAATACTAAAAGTTATATTATTTTTTTCTTTTCTTTTTATGAAAATTTTTGATAAAAAACATAGAAAAAATGGAACAAGGTTTTTAACTACTAACTGTAGATATATATAGATCAAGCAGTTGTAATTTTTGTCATTTTTTTAAATTTACTTTTTTATGGGTTTTTAATTTATTAATGAATTTTTAATCATAAAATTCTACAAAAAATGAAAAAAAAGGAATTAGTATAAAAAACCCATAAAAAATAACAACTTGACAACCTGATGTGTGTGTGTGTGTGTGTGTGTGTGTGTGTGTGTGTGTGTGTGTGTGTGTATATATATATATATATATATATATATATATATGTATATATATATATATATATATGTATGTATATATATATATATGTATGTATATATATGTAAATATATATATATATACATATTTACATATATATGTATATACTTTACATTATATACTTTACAATATATATTTATATACTTTACGGCTAAGAAAACGTGTTTGTTGTAAAAATGGCTTTTCGCTTGTTTGTGGTTTTAAAGCTGACAAAATTAAGGTTAGATTATGTCAGAACACATTAATTTAATTGCAAGAAGTAATTAAACCATTAAACCACAAATTAAAAGACTAAAATGTTTTTAAAAACATTCTGAATGTTTTTTTTTAATTTTTTAACTATAAAACATGTGCTAAGTGTTGCTACATCGACTATTTTATAGCCTGACTTGCAAAGGATTGCTGCTACATTGACTGACAAATAGCCTGACTCGCAACAGAGTGCTGCTACATCAACTGAGGGTTTGGTTTAGGAAGGCACTCTATCAAATAATAAGGTAAATTTAAAGCAATAACAGCCATGTAATGCAAATC